TCCTCTCAGGATCTTGGGCACGCACGCACATGTGCCCGGCGTGAGTTTAAGCCACCGGGTCCGGGACTCGAACCGCGGTCGACTACGTGGGAGTCCAGCAACATAGCCATTACGCTAACTGCTGGTCCCCCTTCCTTCTGTTTCTTGATCACAGAACAAATAAACTTTTAAAACATAATATTCCATCTCTTTTCTAGGCTGCTGAGACTTTTTTTTTAAATTATGAACAAGTATTGAATATTACCAGATGCTTTTTCTGCATTAAGATGATGATGTATTTATCTTTTTTCCTTTAATTTTCTGTCATGTTGATTTTCATCACTTGATTGCTTCATTGTTAAATCAGTTTTGCATTTGCTAGAATGAATTCTACTTTGTCAAGAATGTTCCTTTGTATATGTCACTGGATTTAATTTGCTAGTATTTTATGTTTTGATTTTTTATGTCTATTTCTTTTTTTTTCAAATAATTATTTAACTTAATTTATTTTTTTTAATTTGATCATAGAGGGACAGAGTGAAAGTGAGACCGAGAGCAAGAGAGAGAGAGAATGTGAGGAAGCAAGACACCAGCTCTGAGACTGGAACCGTAGTTGGCCGTGTGGGAGTCCAGCTTCCTTAACCACTACACCACTTGCCGGCCTGATTTTTTTTTTTTTTTTTGAGAGGTTTTCGCTATAGGGCGTGTGCGCTCGCCAGACAGACAGAGAGAGAGACATAAAGACAGAAAGTGAGAAATCCCCCCCCGGGGAGATGGCCACACCGCAATCCCTTCCCTCCATTTTCCTCTCAGGATCTTGGGCACGCACGCACATGTGCCTGGTGTGAGTTTTAAGCCACCGGGTCTGGGACGCGAACTGCAGTTGACTACGTGGGAGTCCAGCGACATAGCCATTACACTAACTGCTGGTTCCCTCGGCCTAATCTTTTGTGTCTATTTCTTGAGAATCAATGGCTTGCATTTTTTTTTTTTTCTTTCTGGTAATGTCCTTATGTTTCTACAAGATTAGTTGGGAAATATTCCCTTTTTTTTGTTCCCTGAAGGAGTTTATATAAAATTAGTGTTATTTCTTCCTTAAATGATGGGAGTGTTTTATCAGTGAAGCCGTCTGGGCCTAGAGCTTTTTATATTTGGAGAGACGCACAGCATGAGAGAGAGAAAGTGAGAAATCACCTCCTGGGGGGATGGCCACGCCACAATTCCTTCCCTTATCAGGACTTTGGACACGTATGCGCACATGCCTGGTTTGATTTTCAAGTCCCCAGGTCTGGGACTTGAACCCTGCAGTTGGCCAGGTAGGATCCAGCCACTTTAACCACTATACTACCTAGCTGGCCCAGTATTGGAAGGCTTTTAGATTTCTTTTTTGAAAAGTTCATTTATTTTGGGGTCAGCAGGTGGCATGGTGGTTTGGGTGCTGCATTCCCACATGTGGTTCAAGTCCTGAACCTTGTGGTTCTCACTTTCTGTCTCTAGTGAGTGCTTGTATCCTATAGCAAATTAATAATAATAATATAATAAATAAAATTTTTAAAATTCTTTTAAAAAGTGTAGGTAATATAGATATTTCTTACAAGAGAAAGAGATAGAGAAACAAACACCACCCCTTCAGCTGCGTCTTCATGTAGCAGTCCACCCCTGGCCTTAGCCAGCCTGGATCATATGCTCGTGCCTGCATGCCCAACGTATACAGGAGGACTTTGGGATGTGAACCCAGGACCTGCCTGCATGAGTCTACCATTGCAGAGCATTTCATTACCATTAAACCTCTGGCTGGCCTCCCATATTTTAATTTCTTTAGTAGATATAGGACTATTTCAATTTTTAAAATTTTGTCAATATTTGACAAGTTTTCTTCCCCCCTGAAATTTGTTCTTGTAGAGTCAAACACAGAGAGTTGTTAACCTCAATACTACCCTACTCAGTACCAAGACTAAGACCTGATCATTTCTCTACGTAATAGGCTAGTTGAATTAATCATTCCAGTTTTTCAGTGCCTTTATATGACCAAATATTTTATAAGGTGTGTCTATACTGAGTGCTTTAAATCTTTGCTTAAAATTTATTAATGTGGAAATTTATGAAATTTTCGGACTTTTTCATTTTTAACTGAGAACTCATCTTAGATTCTCATTTTAGAAAGTGGGGAATATTGGGACCAGCAGTTAGCGTAATGACTATGTTGCTGGACTCCCATGTAGTCAACCACGGTTCGCGTCCTTGA